TTGTGAATGCAACTGAAGTGGTCTTGTTGAAGAAGAGGCTTTGATGGTCTCATCTAACACTCACTGCCTCCCAAACTAGGCCAGATAACTTGTATCATGTTCAAGAAAGTGGGGAAGTAATCGTATCTATACTCTCCTTGAATTGAAACGAGACTTACTTACGAGTCAGCAAGCTTAACGTAGGGCTGCGATGTTATGCCAGGTTATTTTTGTTCACGTGGAGTTCACGTGTGTTTTTTCCCCTGTGGTGCATCATTCAAATAGGTTTCAGGACTGCAAAATAGTTAGGCATTGAGATATACCTGATGGAGCTTGTGAAGGACAGGTCGTCCTCAACTTACGTCCACATTTGTACTGGAAAAATGTCTCCATTGCTTTGCTGGTCAGAAGCCAGCTGGGAAGGTCACCAGTGGCGAGCAGCTGACTGCTGGATGCTGCCAACATGATAAATGCAAATCGGTTGCCAAGCTCTCAGATTTGGAATCACATGACTGTGGAGACACTGCAACAGTTGTAAATGTGAAGACCGGTCCTAAGTCACTTTTTCCAGTACTATCATCACTTCAAATGATGCCCAAACAAATGGTCATAAGTCAAGGACTACCTGCAGGTTTGAAACTCTATCTGGTTTTAACCTGTGTCATGTCTGCCATTTATGAACCACATCCTACAAGGTACCCTTGATTCCAAAGCAGACGTCTCTGTGCTGTCAATTAGCCTTATTTGACTGTAAACCTAAAGATGGAGATCCAGGGATGGATAATAGTTTTCGGTGTGTGTGTGTGTGTGTGTGTGTGTGTGTGTGTGTGTGTGTGTGTCTGAATTTGGGGTTCTGGAACCTGGACTTGCTAATATTGCACCCTTGCTAACGTGTTCCCGGTTTGCTCAGCCATGGGTGCTGGGACCTCACGTCTACCTGTTGGAGCTATAGAGAGAAGAAGGGATTGATTTATTCTCCAAATCACCATAGGGCAGGATGAGAAGTAATGGGTGGAAGCTTGTCAGAGAGAGATCCAATCTAGAAGTTAGGAGAAATTTTCTGACAGTGAGAACAATTAATTAATGGAATAGTTTGCCTCCGGGAATCATGGGTGCTCCATCATTGGAGATTTTCAAAAATAGACTGGACAGACACTGACCAGGATGATAAAAGGTCTCTTGCTTTGAGGAGGACATTGGATAGAAGACCCCTGAGTCTCTTTCAGCCCTATGAGTCTATATTCTTCATGCTTCCTTAGGCTTAGATGTCAACAGAACATAGGTTCTGCATAAGGTGGACAATCTTCCTGCAGCTCAACCCCAGGCTTGTTCTAGGTTTGTTTTGGCCTCCATTATCCAGGTGGGCTCTGGCAATGTTCCCCACCTTCCAAAACCAAAGAAAAAACAAAAAAGGGGTAAACCAACATTTGCTGTCAAATGTAAATTGCTTATGAAAAACCGAAGAGAAGAATGTTGAACTGTAGTTGCCAAAGACCAATTTGCACCATCTTTTTTTCTCTGCCTGGTCATGCGTCATGCATATGCTCCTCCCAGGGAAGTTCCTTTGAAGAATTGTTTGAGGTGACCTTTGGTTTACCGTGAAAGAAATCTTGTTTTTCCTCTTTCTGATTTAATGGAGAAGGAAAAGATAGGTGGCAAACAAACCCAATAACAGAATCACAAGGATGGGAAGGGCACAACCGGGCATGGGAGAAGGAGAGTTGCTCTTACAGGATAAAATAGATGTTTCACTGGTTTTGGGTGGAAAAAGAGAAGATCTCCTATTCTCTTCATTTCTAGCCCTGCCCTTGTTAGGAATATGGAAGCAGTTGTGCTATCACCATGCATCGAAAAGGATGAACGGTTGAAGGAGCTTAACAGAACAGAACAACAGAATTGGAAGGGATCTTGGAGGTCTTCTAGTCCAACCTCCTGTTCAGGCAGGAAACCCTGTATAATTTCAGACACATGGTTGCCCAATCTCTTCTTAAAAACTTCCACTGTTGGAGCATCCACAACTTCTGATGGCAAATTGTTCCACTGGTTAATTGTTCTCACTGTCAGGAAGTTTCTCCTTAGTTCTAGGTTGCTTCTCTCCTTGATGAGTTTCCATCCATTGCTTCTTGTCCTGCCTTCAGGCGCTTTGGAGAATAGCTTGACTCCCTCTTCTTTGGGGCAGCCCCTGAGAGATTGGAAGGCTGCTATCATGTCACCCCTGGTCCTTCTTTTCACTAGACTAGACATCCCCAATTCCAGCAACCATTCTTTCTGTCTTAGCTTCCAGTCCCCTGATCATCTTTATTGTTCTTCTCTGCACTCTGTCTAGAGTCTCAACAACTTTTTTACATCGTGGCAACCAAAACTGGATGCAGTATTCCAAGCATTACCAAGGCATTGTAAAGTAGTATTAACACTTCATGTGATATTGATTCTATCCCTCTGCTAATGCAGCCTAGCACTTCTAGGTAATGTCTATAACCTATTGCTATGTCTAACCCATTGAAGGGAAGGATGAATAGCAGTCTTCCAGTACTTTAGGGGCTGTCACAGCAAAGAAGGGATTGACTTGTTCTCCAGATCACCTGCGGGCAGGACAAGAAATAATTAATAGAAGATCATTCAAGAGAGATCCAACCTGGAACTAAGGAGAAATTTCCCGACAGAACAATTAATTGATGGAAAAAGCTTACCTCCAGAAGTTGTGGGTGCTCCATCACTGGAGGTTTTTAAGAAGAGATGGGACAGCCATTTGCCTGAAATGGTTTAGGGTCTCCTGTTGCAGCAGGGGGTTGGACTAGATGACCTCCAAGGTCCCTTCCAACCTTTTTATTTCATGTTCTATCTCCAAACATAGAGTAATAGGGTTGGAAATCCTCGGCTTTCCAAAATGCTTCACCAAAATTGGAAATAGAGAAATTGTGTGGTTTTGCTCTTCTTCTTTTACCTCAAGGCCAAGACACCCCAAAAGTGTTTTTTTTTCAAAAGGCAGTTGGGCTTCGTTTTTCTTTGAAGATGTTTTTCTTCTCATCCAAGAAGCTTCTTCAGTTCTGGATGAGAAGCAAAACATCTTCCAGGAAAAACAAAATCCAGTTGCCTTTTGGAAAAAGCACTTCCAACAAGCAAAGTCAAGGGGAGAAGCCAGCTTCACTTAATGATGTCATGATTCACATAACAGCCATGGCAAAATTGGGCACAATTCACGTCACAACCACTTGCTTAGCCATGGAAATTGTGGTCTCAATTGTGGTTGTAGGTTAAGGCTGTAATGAAGTGCAGTGATTGTTGAGATCTTGGCCGTCTTGCCAAGATAGCCTTGGCATCTTACTTTGGTGCTCTCGTATTCCTGATGACCTTCCGGCAAATTAGACCAGGCTGAGGGAATGGGATGAGCCTCTGTTAATGATGGGCTGGCTGCTCACAAGCCAGATTTGCCAATCATACTTCAAACCCAACATGGGTTGCTGGTTTTAGCTTGGCGCACTCGGTGGACCCCGTGTGGTTTGTAAACCAAAGCCTGTGTCTTCGTTTGAAAGGTGAATCTCTCCAGTTGTGTTTTAGTCAATGGGCCACAGCCCTACCTGATCTGGGGACCCGCCACTGTTAGATGCTCTGGAGGAGAAGAGCTGGCGACATAGGCTGGGGTCCCTGGCTTCAGACCAGCCCCCTTCCCCCCCCTCCAACGGCTATTCTCATGGGAGCAGCCCAGCATCGATGGGAGCGCATAGCTGAGAAATTGCCGCTCCGCTTTTTGGCTTATAGGAACCCAGCCACCAATGGCAGCCACCAGGTGAGGATGGGAGGTCTGATCCCACCCACAGCGAGAAAAGCAGGAATGGGTTCTTTGGCTGCCTAATTGCCACATGCCGAGATCTCTAATTGCCCTTTTTTCTCTAATGCTATAATAGCGGAATTACTCAAAGTGATCCCCCATTGTGTTGCAGGAGTCTCCCAGAGAGGGAGCATCGTGCAACAGAGCCCGGTTGTGTGTCTTTTGAAAAGGGTATATTTATGTGGGAACTTTCTCTCTGCCCTTCCCTTCCCTAAATACTCTTGTGGCTTTTCTGCTGGGATTTTTTTTCCCCCATTCTGGTTCTCTCCTTTCCCCCATCAAAAGTCATTTGTCCCAGGCCCTTGGTGCTCTCTTGCGCTTGCTTGATTTCTTGCAGACATTTCATTACCCATTCCCAGCACTGATGGTGTTATCTAGTTTGGGTAATGAAACGTCTGCAAGAAAACAAGCACGCTCAGAGAGCACCAAGGGCTTCTCATGTCCAGCCTGAGCTACAAATTTATTCCTTTATTAGAGTCATTTATCTCTTTATTCAGAGCAGACAAGAGCCTTCGTTGGATTCCTAGAGGTGAGCGACGTATGCAGATTCAAAAAAAAAAAAAATTCAAGATGGCAGCTATGACTAAATAGGTGAAGCGGTGCCTCTTTTTATATGCTGAAGATGACAAACACACCCCACTGCACTTTTGAAAAAATCCTATCCCCAAAATAGGTGCCTTGCCAACCTCCAAACCCTTAGAGAAGGCATAAGTTGTGACTCTACATAAGAGTGTCCATTTCTCTTGTTCTTCCGTTCGTTATGTGGCTGTATGTTGTTGTTGTTGTTGTTGTTGTTGTTGCTGCTGCTTCTCAGTAATAAAATGTGCTTGTGTTTTACTGGATTTTGATGCAATTTCAGACTGCATTCACCTTTTTGGGAGCTACAGTACAGTACCGGCTGATATTTAAGTTGTCTACTACGACTCCAAGATTCCTCTCACAGTTACGGCTTATTGTTTGGGAAAAGCCAGGTTTTCATGGTCTTGTGAAAAGGCCATTAGGGATGTCTGTATCTTGGGTGCATGGGAAGATGTTGAATAGTTTACTTGCCACAACCATGAGGGTGATGATAGAGCTTGTTTCGCCCAAACTCTTCAACAACTCTTGTAGGAAAGCTGTGCCAACTGGATTTTGAGCATGGACCCAGCTTGCTATTTTTTATTTGTGTCACTAGTAACCCTCTCTCCCACAGGTAAATCACACCTGGCTATTGTCCAAAAGGTGAATAATGAAGGTGAGGGCGACCCCTTCTATGAAGTGTTGGGATTGGTAACTCTGGAAGACGTTATTGAGGAGATAATCAAATCAGAGATCCTGGACGAATCGGATATGTACAGTTAAGTTCATTTTAAATCTTAACTTTTTTGATGGGAGGAATATGTATATTGTTAAGTGTATCATCATCCCAGGTCTGAATGGTTACTCGCAGTGGCCACCTTGCTTATCTATGAAAATTCATGAATGTTTTATTATATATGATATTTTATTGTATTAGATTCTGGCCCATAGGCATATTATGATTTTGATTTATAGCAAGTGCTAGTAGGAGACCACAATGATCTCATGTGCCAACCTAGATGCACATCAATCTACCTGTCCCATCTGACTCGTTTTGAAAATATTGTCTTAATATTGTCTTAAAAGTTGTAATTGTGATAGGCCGACAAGGCAAAAGTTTGGCTTCTAGGATCCTCCTTATTTGACTGTAAGCATCTACAAAAGGATGGTAGGGAACCTCCTGGTCAGTAGACATTTTGAATTTGGCCACAGTCATCATCATGGCCTTTTTGTCAGCCATTTTGTGGCCCAGCTGCACACAGACCTCCCAAATTCCAAATGGACTCCAGTCTCCAAAATACTTCCTGCCCCTGACATAAAGATTTTTCCTCATTTGGGTCTCTTCCACGATGCCATGCATTTCCCTTCATGCGGTCTGATGAATTTTGCCACGCATGTGCTCACACATCACGCTAAGTGATGACATTAATTCACTGGACTCGGCTGAGCAGCTGATGGAAACATTGTGGTGTCTTTAATGACTTGTTCCTCGCTTATTGTCACCACAGCTGACAACCGCACGAAGAAGCGTGTGAGCCACAAGAAGGACAAGAGAGATTTCTCTGCCTTCAAAGACAACGACACAGAGTCCAAAGTGAAGATCTCACCACAGTTGCTTCTGGCGGCTCATCGCTTTCTCTCCACCGGTAAGAGACATTTGAAAATAGACATTTCTTCTTGCAAAGAAACGACTTTTCTTTTTATCTGCTTCATTCCACTTTTCACTGGGAGGTCAAAGCAGAGCGCAGGTAGTCCTTGACCAGGGGTCTTCAAACTTGGCAACTTTCAGACTTGTGGACCTCAACTCAGGGCTGGCTGAGGAATTCTGGGAGTTGAAGTCCACAAGTCTTAAAGTTGCCAAGTTAGAAGACCCCTGTCCTTGACATACAACAGTTCATTTAGTGACTGTTACAATAGCACTTAAAAAAGTGAGTTATGACTGTTTTTCACACCTACAACCGTTGCAGCATCCTCATGGTCAGGTGATCAAAATTCGGCCATTTTGCAACTGACTCACATTTATGACGGTTGCAGTGTCCCGGGGTCATGTGATCCCCTTTTGCGACCTTCTGACGAGCCAAGACAATGGGGGAAAGCCAGATTCACTTAACAAGCACTAACTTAACAACTGCAGTGACTCACTTAACAACAGTGGCAAGCAAGGTCATAAAGTGGGGACAAAACTTGCTTAACCAAAGTCTCACTTAGCAACGGAAATGTTGGCCTCAGTTGTTATCATGGGAATCTCCTTTCATTTTATCTCTGCACCATCGGGAAGAAAGTTGGCTTGTAGGCTACGATCTGGGTCCAGAATTACTCCGCAGAGGCCCGAATCGGCCTCTCTCCAGCCCCAGCCCAGCACATGAAGAGTATCCTGGCCATAGTGACCCCAAGTAGTTTCTCCACCACCAAAAGAAGCCCTGGGTGGCTGAGTCAATGGGAGTTATAGTTCTGCCCCAAAGTTCAACCAAGGCTACTTCCTTCTCTCATCCCACGATCAGACAGAGCCGCTGCCCACAATTCAACAAAGCAGATTCCAGACACCAATATGAAACTCACAGAGCAGGTCGTTCCCCCCCCCCCTTGTCTCACAGGGAAATTACAGGGGTCTGCGGATTCAGTAAGGCAAGCCTCCATTATCCTGTCTGCTGTGGCTTTAGGTTTGATGGGGAGTTTCCTTCAAGCTTTGCTTGTTTATTTGTCTCCCACCCCACGCCCTGTCCCACCCGGGCAATTAAGCACCAGCAAAAAAAAAAAAAAAAGCTTTTTGGCCCAGATGTTGTAAAGTTATAAGTTGGGGAGAGAGGGTAGAAAACCCTTTTTTCTGAGAAAGGGAAAGGAGATTTTAATTAAAGGCATTCTTCGACTTACAGCCAATTTGTTTAGTGACTGTTTGAAATTACAGTGGCACTGGAAAAAAAGTGAATTTGGATTGTGTTTCATTTACAACTGTTGCAGCATTCCCATGAGAGTCCCCGGCATTTGAGATTCATTTTTGTGTGTCAGGATACCCCTGAAATCTTTCAGTGGGCATCACGCATTGTAAAAAAACAAAAAAGGGCTGAAGGAGGGGAAGGAATTGCTTCTGAATAAAACGTCAGGAAATTTTAAGGTATACCCCCTGTTGCACTCTGAATCCACACCTCTGAAAATACTAGTACATCTTGTGTCCCCCAAAGCATGTCTGTCCACCCACAATGTTGTCAGGCACAAAGGATCAGGACCTGTAACTCAAAAAGATTTATTGTTCACAACTGTACGCAAGCATCTGGTCAACTAATGGTGGACACTAAATTGGCACTAGATAAGAGTCAAAGGAATTCAAGCAGGGCTGGACATGGATCTTTTGTGGCCACAGTAAGGATTCTAAGCTGATGACCCATTTAACACCACCCCCAGCTCTGCCTGCTCTTCTCCTATAGATGGAGCTTCAGTTCCACAACTGGCATGCAAATATTGTAGAATCAAAACTCAGAATCCAAAGCAAATAATCAAGGCTCACTGCAGTGTTTATTGTTAACAGTGCCCACTGGAGGAGTTTCCTCCAGGGAGCAGTGGGAATAACTCTTGCAAGCCAAAGGCTGCTCTCATCGTTACACATTTCAAAAAAAGAGGAGAAAATGATACAGTCAAACATATCCATACAATAGATGAGGTAAACATGAATACTCATAATTAACAAATCTCAAGTTACTTCCCCACCCGTCTATTGTTGGCATCTTCGAGAAAAAATTATTGACTTAATAAAATATCACTTACATTGCCTTAGATATCTTGATGTATCTTAATGAGAAGCAGGCACTTCAAGGCTGCCATTTTCCATGTGCCAATTAGCACACATTTGTCCATGTTTCTGTTTTGCTAACACTCTCCCACTTCTCTAAGAAGGTGCAATATAAAATGTAGAAATTAATTTGGCATGAAGTGGGAATTCCAGACACTGTCATCCCACACTTACCTATTTCACTCCTACAGCCCAGCTTTTCTGCAGGAGCTGAAAGTAGTGTACCTACTGCCCTTTCCTTCTCTTTTTTCCCCACAAGAACAACCCTGTGAGGTAGGCTGGACTGAGAAAGCCTGACCTGCTTCTCCAGGGAGCTTCTATGGCTGAAGAAGGACTAGAAGAGGGAGTCAAGCTCTTCTCCAAAGCGCCTGAAGGCCGGACAAGAAGCAATGGATGGAAACTAATCAAGGAGAGAAGCTAAGGAGAAACTTCCTGACAGTTAGAACAATTAACCCAGGTTAATAATGATGATAATAATAAAGTTGGAAGGGACCTTGGAGGTCATCTAGTCCAACCCCCTGCTCAGGCAGGAAACCCTATACCATTTCAGACAAATGGCCGTCCTTTAAAACGTTCCAGTGATGGAGCACCCACAGCTTCTGGAGGCAACTTTTGTTCCACTGGTTAACTGTCCTCACGGTTAGGCAGTTTCTCCTTAATTCCAAGTTGCTTCTCTTCTTGGTTCGTTTCCATCCATGGCTTCTTGTCCTTCCCTCTGGTGCTTTGGAAAATAAGTGGACCCCCCCCTTTTCTTTGTGGCAGCCCCTCCAAATACTGGGATGTTGCTGTCAACCCTCTGCCTTTTTTTTCTCCTCCAGAGGTGACGCAGTTCACGCCTCCTTTCATCTCGGAAAAGATCCTGTTGCGCCTTCTCAGGCACCGGGATGTAATCAACGAGTTAAAGTTTGACGAGGAGAACAAGAAGTGTCCTCGGCATTTTCTCTTCAACCGGAACAAACCGGCTGATTTCTTCATCCTCATCCTTCAGGTAACGGGGCCGCCTCACTTAGGAGCCTGTTGGGCGGGGTGATGTCACATGCACCATGACATCATTTTGCAATGGCTGTGAGCGATGACTAATTGGTGCCATTTGCGCAAAGGTGAAACTGCGTTATTCGTGTCATTCAACAAAGGATGAAATTACACTATTCTCGGCCTTCGCGCAATAATGAAATTACAGGATCGGTGTCCTTTGCCCAGTGTTAAAATTACGTAATTTGTCCCTTTTGTGTAAGGATGACGTTACGTTATTTATGTCATTTTTTTGCGGCAATGAAATTACGTTGTTGGCTTCTTTCAAGCAACGATGGAATTACATAACTCCCATCATTCTCGCCGTGATTGTCAGGATCAGGACCATATGGTAAATTGTAGTTCAAAAAGGAATGTATTGCTCATGCCTATACACAAGAATTGAGTCAACTAAAGCTCAGTACTAAATTGGCGCCAGATAAGGGTCAACAAAATTTAGGAGGGATTGGTCTTGGATCGTTTCTGGCAATGTAACAATGCCAAGCTGATGACTCATTTAACTCTGCCTTTTCTTCTCCTATTATAGTGATGAAATTGTCATTCGCATTATTCGGGCAATGCTATATAGCTTCATGTCATTCGCGCAATGAAGAAACCGTGTTATTTGCGTAAATTCAAATTATGTAACTCCACTCATTTGCACAATAATGAAGTTACATTATTTGCATCCTTTCAGCAATGGTGTGATGTATGGGACAACATCGTGGCGCATGCCAAATGACCCTGTGTAGGTCTGGCTTTAAGCAAGGTGGAAGGATTGTGGTCGGATCTGGGTGTGTTTTTAGAATTCATTTGCAAACCATGGAATCTCTGAGCAGCTTCGGGCCTGGGAAATATGAACAGAATTTGTCCTCAGTTGGCAGAGTTCCTAGGAGAGAAAAAAAAAACCCAGCAGAAGCTTTTAAAGAGCTTTAATTGTTGCATCTTAATAGTGATAATTGCCTGAGAATGCCCACCCCCAACTCTCATCCACTCAATCAACGGATACAGTTTTTCTGAATAATGCTGTCTCGTTGATTCAGCTCCAAGGAACATCTGTGGCGTTATAAAACAGATGTTTTAATTTTTCAGGCCATGGAACATGTTAGAACTCTCTAGTACAGTGGTTCTCAACCTTTTTAATGCCGCGACCCCTAACCGGTCGTAAGTCGAGGACTACTTAACCGGTTGTAAGTCGAGGACTACTCAACTGGTGCAGCACCGTTTGCAGAATGGGACTTTGGGCAGGCTCAGCAGGGCAGAGACAGCCTGGACAATTCCTGTTGGCTTTTGAAAGCCAATAGAATTAGACTCTATTCAAGAGAGTCTATTCTATTGGCTTTCAAAAGGCAATAGAATAAAAGGGAGTAGCACAGCTAAGGAAAAGGGGGAAAAAATGGCGGACTGCGTTGTTTGGCGACCCCCGTGAAATGGTCGTTCGACCCCAAATGGGGTCCCGACCCACAGGTTGAGAACCACTGCTCTAGTAATAGAAAACTATTTCAGTAAGAGGTGTCCAACCTTGGCAACGTTAAGACACATGGACTTCCGTTCCCACAATTCTCCAGCCAGCTATGTTCCCCAGTCTTTTTTTGCCCATCTTTCCAAACATCATCCCCCTCCCGAGATTAGATTGGCCCATCCCTCTTGGCTTTTCGTAAGATCTTGAATATTTGGCTTTGTGCCTAAACCTGGGGCTCTGGGTGTATATTAGAGCCATCTTCTGAGTGGATGATTGATTAAATCAGGGGTTGAATTAGGCTGGCTGGAGAGTTCTGGGACTTGAAATCCACAAGTTTTAAAGTTGCCAAGGATGGACACGCCTGGATTAAATGAGGCTCATCTGCTATGTGTTTTTATTTTTATTCGTTACATTGCTTATTTTATATATTTGTTTGATTGTGAATTGCCTGGAGTTGGACAATTATATAAATCAGATAAACAAACAAACAAACAATTGCATTTTTAGCTCTAAAGATGGACCATAGTGTAAAAAAAAAATACACTAAGTATTCGTTTTAATACGTCTCCCCCTTGTCTTAATCTGGATTGAAGCCCCTATATTTGCAATTCTGTTTTTTTTTAAAAAAAAAAAAATCCCAATGTACTCCTTGTAAAGATTTTCCCAGTTGCAATGTATGGTTGTGAAAGTTGGACCATAAGAAAGGCTTGAACGCCAAAGAATTGAGGCCTTTGAACTATAGTGGTGGAGAAGACTCCTGTGAGTCCCTTGGACTGCAAGGCGATCAAACTGGCCAGTCCTAGAGGAGATCAACCCCGACTGCTCTTTAGAAGGCCAGATCCTGAAGTTGAAACTCAAATACTTTGGCCACCTAATGAGAAGGAAGGACTCACTGGAGAAGAGCCTAATGCTGGGAAAGATGGAGGGCAATAAAAGAAGGGGACGACAGAGAACGAGGTGGCTAGAGGGAGTCACTGAAGCAGGAGGCGTGAGCTTAAAGGGACTCCAGAAGATGATAGAGGACAGGAAGACCTGGAGGAACATTGTCCATGGGGTTGCGATGGGTCGGACACAACTTTGCCACTAACAACAATGATTGCAATGCTTGGGAATGATGACCATCTCCCAAAGGTTGTCACTTCCCCTTTTCTCCCCGCCATTTTTACTCCGCAAAGTAGGGTCCCAATCCAGATGAAATTCCCCCATAGAATTAAAAAGGGGAGAAATTCAAACCCCCTACATATTTCCTTAAAATAAAACTGCTGACCTTTTTTTTAACTGCACCAAAAGGCTTCTGAGAGGCAGCCAATGTAAGCGGCTAAGCTGGTGGTTTTTATTTATTTATTTATTTTGCTTTTACTTTGTCAGGGCAAAGTGGAGGTAGAAGCTGGCAAGGAGAACATGAAGTTTGAAACTGGGCCTTTCTCTTATTACGGAGTGATGGCTTTGAGTCCCTGTGTCACAAGTAAGTTCCCCACTTCAGTTGGCTCGGAGGGGGGCGGGGGGGACAGGAGGGAGGCATAGAAAAATGTCAGATAACACATTGAGACTCCCAACTTTTATTCCTTGACTCACTGGTTTATTCAGTGTTTTGAATAAGGACTGATGATGTTTCCTAGTTGGGCAATAAAACACCAAGCTCAGAGCGGAGCAAGGGCTCCAAAATTCAGTATTTTTGCCTTGCCCCCCGACCCAATCAAGAAAACTCAACAAATTACAGGTCATCCTTGATTTATGACTGCAACTGAGCCCAACGTTTGTTAAGTGATTCTTGCCCCATCTTTACGACTTTTCTCGCCACATTTGTTAAGTGAATCGCTGTAGTTGAGAAATTAATAAAAGGATTGTTAAACCAGTCAGGCTTCCCCATCGACTTTACTCGTCAGAAGCTTGCAAAAGGGGATCATGTGACCTCGGGACACTGCAACCGTTGTAAATGTGAGTCAGTAGCCAAGCATCTGAATTTTGATCACGTGGCCATGGGGATGTTACAACGGTCCTAAGTGTGAAAATTGGTCACAAGTAGTGGTGGGATTCAGCCGGTTCGCTCCACTTCGGCATAACTGGCAGCTAATTGTTTGTTGCCCAGGCCCAGAATGGACTTCCGGAAAAGGCATCCACACAGAGAACCAGTTGTTCCCATATTTGAATCCCACCACTGGATAGATAAATGATAGATAGATGATAGATAGATAGATAGATAGATAGAGAGAGAGAGAGAGAGAGAGAGAGAGAGAGAGAGAGAGAGAAAGAAAGAAAGAAAGAAAGAAAGAAAGAAAGAAAGAAAGAAAGAAAGAAAGAAAGAAAGAAAGAAAGAAAGAAAGAAATACAGTGGTGGGATTCAGCCAGTTTGCACTACTTCAGCAGAATCAGTAGCTAATTTTTTTGTTGCCTAGGCCCAGAACGGACTTCTGGAAGCAGCATCCACACAGAGAATCGGTTGTTCACGTCTTTAGTCATAAGTCACTTTTTTCAGTGCCGTTGTAACTTTGAACGGTCACTAAACAAATCGTCGTAAGTCAAGGACTATCTGTACAAAAGGTTTCCATAGGATTGACTGGAGCTGCTTGGTGTAAAATTAGATTCTTTTAAGTTGTCCACAATATAATCTCAGTGTTATGGTTCCGACAGATGAAACTCTTCAAAGAACTTCGAGGCATTGTTTACCTTAAAGAGTCTTTATTTGAGCAGCAACACATCGGCACTTACATAGCCCAAGCCAAAATCTGGATTCCCCTCCCCTTAGCACACAGTATCAAACACAATTCCCTCCTCTAATTATCAATCATAAATCACATTCTCCAATTAGTTTGAAATGCAGGCTTTCCCTCCTGTTCTCCAACCCACCATTTCTTATCATCTCTTATTTCAAAAGCTCTGAATTCACACACTATTACAATATTGTTATGTCTAACAAACTCCCATCACATTCCTCTCCCCCCCCCCTCCCAGTATCATCTAATTCTAAGAATAAAGCACAAGAAAGAAAAAGGCTGCATCTCCATAGGTTGTCAAAGCAAGAACATCTGATGTTAGCAGCGCTGACACTCTGAGATGGCCTATGACCTACCATTGCAACTAAAGCTTTAGGCTGCCCCCCCCCCCCATCTCAGCAATAAAGATCTGTGTTTGCCAGCAAAATGGCAACATGATAAGCAGTAATCACTGAGCCCTAGGTAACAGCATAAAACAATAAAAGAGCCATAAAATTAGATGGTGAGATCTATAAACAACTCCTTTCTTCTCTGTCTCCGTGTTGTCCTTCTCAGTTCATTTCATCCAAACTCAGTTGGCAGCCCTGGGAAGGATAGGGAGTTTTTATAGATTTTTTTTCCTGATGCATGGAGGAATTAGACTGAGGCAGAAACAAATCATTTGTAAGGGGGAGGGGGGAAAACCCTGCCCAAAATTTGTGAATGTTGCGCACGTGTCACAAATGGAGAGGTTTACAAAGAGGAGGTGGGTAGGGGGAGAACACACAGCGTCTTGGGGAGGGCTCAACATTTGCATGATGGTGGCTGCAGTGTCACAGTCCAGGCCCTGCCCCTCTTGTAAACAAAAAGGGGGGGGGACTTGATTGCAACACTCTGCCCCGTGCAAAACCTTGCGGATAATAAAGGCAGTCCTCGGCTTATGACTGCGATTGAGCCCCAGGTTTGCGTTGCTAATGGAAACATTGGTTAAGTGAATTTTGTCCCATTTTACGACCTTTCCTGCCACTCTTATTAAGTGAGTCACTGCAGTATTTAATAGGTAACCTGGTTTTTAAGTGAATCTGGCTTCCCCATTGACTTGGATTTTGATCACATGACCGTGGGGATGTTGCGCTGGTCGTAAGTGTGAAAATCAGTCATGTCTGAGTTTTGGTGCCCTTGTAACTTTGAACAGTCGCTAAGCGGACTGTTGTAAGTTGAGGACTACCTGTATTCAGCCCCCTCCCTTAGATATCCAGGGGGAATAGAGTCACCCATACATTTGTCTTCATGACTTTCCACGTAATACAGGTAGTCCTCAACTTACAGCCATTCATTTAGTAACCAGTCAAAGTTACAAGGGCATTGAAAAAAGTGGCTTATGACTGGTTTACACATAAGTCTCATATCGGGGCGCCATTTGAGCAGTCGCCCAAAGTTCATAAGTCGAGGACTACCTATGTTGTCACTGCCTTTGGAAAAGCATCCAGAGTACATCTTATTTTACCAGATTTTTTTCCCCCCAAACTCGTGGATCTTATTGATCCAATACTTTTTTTGGGGGGGTAACCTTTCCCCCCCCCCACTCTTTGTGCCTGGTTTCCAAGCCCTAAGCCCCCTTGTCTGCCCGTTTTTAATGGAAATGGAAAAAGAATCAAGTTCGTAAATAATTGAAGTGGGCAGAGGAACGTGGGTCTCAAAGTAAGACGCCGTAGGTCCAGAAAAGCAGCTGCATCCCCAGTGAGCAATAGAGAGACGATACTGTCAGCTTGACTTGACCCAGTCAGAACCAGCTTTTTAATGCAGGGGGAGGACTGGGTTGAAAACCACACAGGACAAATAAAGGTGCCGTAAGACAAGTGTCTGCAACCTTGGCCACTTTAAGGCTTGTGGACTTCAGCTCCCAGAATTCCTCAGCCAGCATAGTTGATTCTTCTGCTTTCAGTAACATTAAATGTTAGGTTTCTGCCACCTAGTGGTCGACGTTCAGCCTTTCAACCCAACGCTTTAGGCGCCGCTGTTCAATTCCTTTCCCGGGGCCTGCGTCCTTGAAGGCAGGAAGATGGCTCTGTTGGCCCCCTCCGGTTCCTGTCGGTGTCCATACTCCCCCAAATTCCCACAGCCATCTTTCACACCTCCAGCACTCTTCCCCTCCCCAGGGCCCCCTCCCTCCCTCCCTCCCGGTTATGACAGTTGCTAGTGAACTTCAAAGAAAGTGAAGATGGGCATCTGACACGCTGCTGGTGCACAAAAATTTAACCTGTCAATGCTCAAGGCAAAGTGGTGCTAGATAAGCACCAATGGACTTCAAAGGGGGGGGGGATGGACTTCGATCTCTTATGGGGATGTAGTGACTGCGTTTGACCCTTCCCTTGGGGCTCATCTCCTGCAGCTCCATGGTCACAGGACAGTGATTTAGGACAAAAGAGCCAAGGTTGCCTACCCCTGCCCTATACCATTTCAGACAAATGGCTGTCCAGTCTCTTCTTAAAAACTTCCAGTGTTGGCGTATTCACCGCTTCTGGGTGCAGGTAGTGTTTGCTTTACCACCCTCATATTGGCCAAACGACCATGGGGAACAAAGTAATAAAACCAGGCTCAATCATGTGCTGATCTGCTGAACAGTTCGGCTTGACTTACAGCCGTGATTCTGGGCTCAGTTACGACTGTAAGTTGAGAACTCCCTATAGTATTGTCATTGCATGCACAGCAATGTTATTGTTGATTTTTCTTCTCCTTTTGCCTCTCTCTCTTGTCCGGTTCCATCATCACCATCACCTCCTTCTCCTCCTCCATTCTGCATGCTTATGTGCCCGTAGCACCGCCAGACAGATCCCAGCACCAGTCCATTATACAGCGAGGATCCTTGCATTCCAAGCTGTCAGGTAAAAAATGGCATTTAATACTTGGGGGTGAGTGCTGCGCATTGATGCTTCGCTTGGACTTCAGGGGCACAGGTTGCGATGCAGGAGCGTTGGCCATAGAATGAGATAATGCACCATAATTCCTTGCAAAGATGCTCAGAGTTTGGAAATGAAGACTCAATCGTCCAGGCCAAAAGCCTCCAAAAAGGTCATATCCTGGCAACTGGATCCAAGTTTTTTAATCTGAGACATTTCATTACTCATCTTCATTTACATATTGCAATACATTTTGGGGGAGAAACCTCTGCAGTTGGTGTGGCAAGAGTTAGTAGATTCCAACGATTGTCTGAGTCTCTGCCTAACTTACTACTACTACTACTACTATTATTATTATTATTATTATTATTATTTTGACTGATGAAGTTAGTTGAATGAGTATCGAAACATCTCAGATTAACAAATTTTGATCCAGTTGCCATGATTTGACCTTTTTAGATGCTTGGCGTGCAGATGGAATATGGGGGTGCAGAGATGTGGCTTCAGTTCTCTAGTCACCGAAATGCCTTGGGTTCCCCCCCCCCCTGCCTTCCTCTCTCTCTCTCTGGCTTTGCAAAAATAAACTTGTTACTGAATGAATCTCGTGGGGGCGGGCGGGATTTTACCGTGTGCAGTGCCTTGAATCATAAACTAATTGAACCAACTGACTTTTGCATGAAATAAAATTGTGCCTTCCTGGGGACTCCCTGTTGTGAGGAGAATATGTGATAATAAGGGTGTTTGTTGGCAACATTTTCAGAAGGGATTTGCTGCTTACTATCAAGGGCTGGGAGAGAGGGTGCTGATCCAAAGTCCCCCAGCTGTTTTCATGTCTAAAACTCATGTCCCTTGGTTCTAATCTCACACCTTTAGCCACAGCATCAGTCTAGCTCTCAAATACAACAAATATTTAAACCAATTGAACACAAACCAAGTTAAGCTTTTTGCGCAAAGGCCGTTTCTGAGTTTTTAACCTGACTTTGATTAAGGGCACTTTGCTGAAGACAGGAGTGTGATGTATAATGTAATAGCACACTGTATCCAGGTTTCTTGGCTGTCTCCTTTTAAGCAAGACTGTGAAGACTGCTGTCTAGCTCACTGCATCTTGTTCTGCAATGCCACATAGCAAAAGAATTGTGGAGCTCTTCTTAGGACCTCTAAGAACCAAGATCTTGCAGTGGGTGGAGTGTGTGTGCTTCAGCATGAGTTTGGGGACCGGCTCTTTAGAACTGGGCTCAGGAACCCCGGATCTTCAGGCAGCTGTTACCCAAAATTGCCCAGGAAAATGCTAGGATGCCTCACTAGCTCTCCTTTCAATCCCAAACTCAAATGTTTATTAAATTATTAATTCATTATTAAAATGTTTATTCAATGTATTTAGTGAAAATTATCTGCCATGCCAAAGCCACTAAAACTGCCTTCCCCAACTTGGCATCCATCAGCTGTTTTGGGGCTTCAATTCCCAGAATTCCGATCCAGCCGGGCCAAGGTTGTTGCCGGCTATGAATTCTAGAAGCTGAAGTCCCGACGCATTGCAGCTGCTCCCTAAATGCTCCCATCCTAGGATGGGCTGTTGTTTGCACAGAAACATTCTATGCAGTTAATCTGGGTAGTAGCTAGGAGGCAGAATTGACCTGTGGTTTTTTTTTAAATTGCAATCCTGCCCATATTTTTGGAGCACATAGATTTTTGGAGCACTTGCATTGAAGTCATAGACCCCTGGCAGAAGACATGATAACATGATGGCATGCAAGTGATGTCCACCACACGTTTTCCCATATTCTTCTGAGGTTATCCATGTATGAACTGGACTTGGAAGAAGATGATATACAATCAAATAGTTTGAGTGCCAGACAAATTTCTTCATCTTTTTCTGCATTGAAAAAGAGGGGTTTCAAACAAGAGTTGGAGTGATATGATGAGGAACAAATCCAGGCCCCAGAGACTCTTCAGAAGTTCACCACTCAATTGTAATTTTTAGTCTGAAATACAAGAACACTATTAAATATAGAGAAACCATTTAAGTGAGGCCAGACTTAAATTTTGTCCTTCACCACCAACTTTGAAGGGTGTGTTCCTCACATGTCATTCCAAACTATGTTTTGGGATCCTTAGACCCTAAAATGTGGGCTCATGAATTCAGTGAGGGAGCAGAACCCAGATTCAAGACCAGCTGCAGAAGTTCCCTCATGGACTTTTGGCCAGTCAGCCTCATTTACTTGATATTGTTATGGAGAGAAAAAAAAACTGGAAGAGGAGATGCCGTTCCCATGAGCCTCTGGGAGAAAGCTTTTTAGGGGAAGACTCCACATGTCCACCTCAATGTCTGGTGACTTTATGGTCAGGTTCCTGAGGTGTCCTTAGCAGCATTGTAAAAGTGATCCAGCTTTGCTTAACTATTTTGAGGTCAGCCCAAACAGAGAAAGAGTTGCCATTTTAAGAAAGAATTTTTAAAAAATGGAGGAACATAGGTAGAACCTGATTCCTACATCCTCTTTCTCTCTGTCTAGTTTCAGAAATGCGTTCTCCATCTCATATGAGTAATCTGAATCGCTCGGCGTCTCTTTGCTACCACGAGCGCACCGAGTCCATCTCTTCCAATTTCACTGGCAGCAACAACCAGCTTAACGTCAACATGAGCTCCCAGTATCTCTCAGACTTCAGTGTTCGTGCTCTTACAGATCTCCAGTATGTCAAGGTGAGCCTTAGGCCTAAGCCTCCCCAAAGTTAAACTGAACTGGTTCTTTGTTTTATCCATTCAAATATCATAAAAGCAGATTTATTTAAAAATAGAGAAAGCTGGCTTCTTAACAAGCTGGTTTTCTATATTGACTCAATTATTATTTCAGTGGTGGCTGGGCCCAGGTGGGGCTGCTTCTATCTTGAAGATGTGTCCACTGGAGCTTCACGAGTGTCAATCTCAGGGCACAATTTATTTATTTATCTATTTATTTATGAGACTTATATACCGCTTTAAGTGCAAGCACTCTCTAAGCGGTGTACACCAGTAAGCAATGTATATATATATATATATTTACATTGCCCCCAACAATCTGGGTCCACATTTTACCTACCCCAGAAGGATGGAAGGCTGAGTCAACCTTGAGCTGGTGAGATTTGAACCGCTGACCTGCTGAACACAGTCAGCTAAAGTGGCCTGCAGTACTGCACTCTAACTGCTGCGCCACCTCGGCTCAATAAGTGGGGAGTGTCCCGAGAGAAACTCTGACATCTTTCAGAATGTCTGGACCACAGGTAGCACTTAGACAGCACTTAGACTTATATACCACTTCTCCAAGTGGTTTACAGCGTCAGCCCCTTGCCCCCAACAATCTGGCTCCTCATTTTACTGACCTCGGATGGATGGAAGGCTGAGTCAACCTTGAGCCGGTCAGGATCGAACTCCTGATAATGTAGGCCAGTGTTTCTCAACCTTGACAATTTTAAGGCATGTGGACTTCAACTCCCAGAATTCCACAGCCAGCAATGCTGGCTGTGGAATTCTGGGAGTTGAAGTCCACATGCCTTAAAATTGTCAAGGTTGAGAAACACTGATGTAGGCAGAGTTAGCCTGCAATGCAGGTAATCCTCCACTTAGGACCACAATTGAGAATTAATTGCTGTTAAATTAAACTGCATCTTATTATCCAAGATTTACTTTAGTTTCACTTTCCGTGTACCATAGAGACCTGAATAAGTCTCTGGTTTAGACAGTTTTATTAGTTTATGTTATAACATACAAAAAAATAGTAAAGCAAATAGTAGGAAAAACAGGGAAGGGAGGAGTGAGGAAAAAAAGGGGAGAAAGAAAGAAAGAAAAGGTGTTGACTTCCAACTCCCTTAGGTGCAGTTTAAATAAGGTATTAGCATCAAACCTCGAGTTTTTACTTCTACATAATAGTTTAAACCAGCCATTTCTATAACAACAAATTTATCTCATTGGTAAAACAAAATCAAAGTTCCATTTCCCCCCACCTATTCTATGTTCTGTTAACTCGAGCGCCCAAAGTGGTAGTTAGGTGACCACAGGGGTGGGCCCAGACATCAGAACTTCAAATCGAGGTTGTATGTCCCATTTTCGAAGTCCCTCCTAATTTCAAATGGTGGCTAGGTGACCGATCATAGGTTGATCATAATGTTTGATTGTCATGATTTAAACTGTGCTTCTTCACACTGAGTTTCACTCACTCTGTCTTTGCCCTGCAGATCACGCGCCTCCAGTACCAAAACGGTCTCATGGCCTCCCGCCTGGAGAGCTGTCCCCAATCCCCCGACGGGAGCCCCCCCAAAGCGGACCCCTCCTCGGCAGAAAAAGGGAGCACCCTGTCCAACAACGAGATGATTGGCCTCTTGAACGAAAGGAACTGCCAGCATCAAAAGACGAACCACAACCCCCCCGACAATGTGGTCTGACCCCGGCATTGGGGCAGTTGGCCCGGCCCAGCTCGCCCACTTTTTTTCCTTTTCAAAGACCCAAGAGTGCCCACAGGAGATTCCGATTGTGTGTCGATATCAACCTCAGGTAGCAGCTGCAATCCGCGCTCTCTGGTACTGTTTCCCACTCGCCTGCCCTGTCTTTCTAGCCAGGTGGTTTGGAACTGGGAGGGGAAGCCAGCCAGCCAGCCTTGAAAGCAATCGGAAGCCACCTCTTCTAAGGTGACAGGCCCCATCCTGGGTCACCTGCACAATCGAGGGTTCTTCCCTGTCTGCATCAAAGCAAGCTGGACTAGCAGGACAAGCACGTTTCCCCTTTCTCTGTGCTGGTTTTTTAACTGGATACAACGGAGAGGAAGGCAAGCCACTGGCACACCCAGGGGAACCTCGAAGCAGCTGCCTTTTTCCAGGGTGCCCAGTTCTGGTACTGCCTTCCCCACCAGGGAAGGGTGTCCTTCCGAAGGAGCACGTAGTTACAAAGGCGGCACCCAACGTGATGGAGGGGGACGTAGGTTTATAGAGATGCCAGCCACCCTCTCTTCATAAGACAGACTTCGTTTTCCCATCTCAGGGAGTTCTGAGACTTTGTTATTTGGGATTATCTATTTTTCCCCCCCTCTTTAATCAAGCCATTGGGGTATTTGAGAGCAGGGATGTGCCTGACATGGAGGAACCAGCCAGAGTTTTCATGCTGGTAGAATCTGTCCCTTCTCCTTTTCAGAAGGATCTCTGAATCATTTTCCTGATTCAACCCAGGTTCTCCTTTCGTTCCAGCTTTTGGCTTCTGTTTCAAGGGACCCTAACGGAATCAGTCGTAGGAGAAGTAACAGCAAGAGGTCAACTGAAAGTTACATCCGGTTGCATTGCAGATCAATGCCTCCCTAGGTTTTTTTTTTTTTTTTAAGTTTCTGCAAATAGAAAACTAACAAATGTCGGGCAGAGGTACAGCTTTTTCTTTGATCTACATTGTTTCTACTTGCAGGGAGTTGTCTTAGTTTGGGTTAATAATCCTCATTTTGTTCTTTTTTTTTTTTAACTGGGGAAGATTTAAATGAATATCCTCCGCCGTCTGTCTCCAGAGGTACTGTTCATTTCTGACAACTCGAAATGGGGCTATAGTTGTATATAGTCAGTCTCTGATTTCCAGTTTCAAGGTACCCTATGCCTTTGCGTGAGTTTCTGGTGCAATCAAAGTTGTGGGATCAGTTTTGCGGTATTTGGCAAGATTAAAAAATGGAACATTCGAGTATTGCAGCTGAAAAATGGATTGTCATTCCAGCTCTAAATGCTTGGATCATCTTTTTGGAGATGATGCAAACAGGTGGCTGTACTTGTAGTAACCAATTACCTTTTGTTGCGTTTCTTTTTCATCCTGACTTGGATCTGAAGTCCTCCGGGTTTAGTTGTGGACCACAAGTAAACCATGTTTTATTGGGATAGAGGAAAACTGAGTGAATTTGATTATTACGTTATCCAAAGATCACGTTATCCTTTTTGTTTTTCTGTAGCTTTTTACAATCATTGTTTTTCTACCGGTTGGAATCAGAATAGGAGTTCAGGTGGTTAATTTTCAGTGGCCAAATTTCATGCAGTTATACCTTGATGTAAAGCAACTTCCTGTACAACATAGATGGGTGTGAGATTTGGGAACAACTTGGAGGCATTCTTCGATAACAGGTTTTTTTTGCAAACAAGACACTGAGTATGATCAGTGGATCAAAGCAAATAGGCAAAAACACCAGTTTCATTGAAGGATGCATTCGTTGGGACATCTGAAGCATCGATGCCGCAGAGTCTGTCCTATGAGTATGAATGTTTGGGCCTTCAGCAGATGTTGCAAACTTGAAAACCAGATGTTGAATTAGCAAGTCCGCTCTTCAAGGCTGGAGAGCACCTATGAATGTACGCTCATTGAATCCCTCCATTCGGAATCGGTTACCACTCAGAAACGCCTTTTAAAATGTGCAAACCCGTCTCAGAAAACGGAATCATTTGTGCATCGTGGTTGAACATTTTCATTCCCGTGTCTCTGCCGTCTTAAATTCTCATGTTTTCTTCTACAAAAGACACCCCACTTTTCATTTTGCTTCCTCTGACCCTCAAAACTGCCTGGGGTTTTAAATTCCTTCCCTCATCCTTATTGTCAAGGCCTTGGGCACAATGACAGCCAGCCTCTGTCACACTTGAGAACCACCCAGATCTGTAAGGCTTCACTTCTTTTCATTCCCTAGATAAAGGGTGATGACAACCAGTTGTAATGAAACACATCTGGAGGGAATTAAGTTCAAGATGGTTGCCTACCGTACACTACTCTTCTTTTGAGTTGGATTAGATACCTCCTGACTTTATGGATACTTCTGTGTTATTTTGGGGTGACAATGTAGAAGTGACTTCACATTGCCTTTTGCAGGATTTTTTTTAAACATGCAGCTTGGCATCTCCTTGTGGTGTCCTATCCCAGCATAACCAGATTTGACCCTGTTTAACTCGTTGAGATCAAGCAATCATAAATCATAAATGTATGTATTTCTGTTTTGCCCTCTTGTCATCTCATAAAGGAACAAGCACACTCACAAACAAGTGTATGAGTAATAATGCTACAACAATGCTAATAGATGCCAACTATGATTTCCCCTGAGTCACCTAGTAACCTCTAGCTAATTAAGAATTTAATTAAGAATTGAGAAAATTAAAATAATTAACAACATCATGTCACCTTGTTTAAAGAGACATGGCACTTATTGTATTTATTTGCAGATGTTTTATTCTCCAGAGCCTCATCAAGTTCTGAGTGAGGTTTGATCAATCTTAAAGGGATTCTTAAAGTGGATATGCTTCCTACGTAAAGGGAAAAAGTTTAAAAATTAATAATTACATCTTGCACAACAGATGAGTGGCCAATAGAATTGTGGGTTATGGGAAATACGTGATCTAGCTCAGGGGTCTTCCAACTTGGCCCTTTTATGACTTGTGGACTTCAACGCCCAGAATTCCTCAGCCAGGCACGTGTGCCTGGCTGAGGAATTCTGGGCGTTGAAGTCCACAAGTCATAAAAGGGCCAAGTTGGAAGACCCCTGACCCAGTTTGACATATCTCCTGCCCAGAGGTTCCCCGTTGCGCTTCTTTGTGAATCCTTCAGGGATTTCTAGTGCAGGAACTCATGCAGAGAGACAGATGGTGGGTTTTACTCTCTCTCACCTGTGTCATTTATTTTGCATACCAATTTTTATTTCATAACTCAGGATCACGTTGCAGCTCTGTATCCATAGGAGAAACACCTGAAAATCAGCGTAGGCACCTCTTATCAGCCCAGTGCAGCCCAGAAGCGCTTTGAAAAAAAAAGGCTTCGGTTTGCTATGAACAAAACCAGGATGGGTAAATTCTAAGCAGCCGGGGCTGCTATGGGCAGAGGGGGCGATTTTTGATTCTTTTTGAGTTTTGCATCTAGATGAGAAGAAGCTTTTAAAACTAACTCTACTGCATAATATTGTGCATTTTAGCGAGGGCCGCCGTTCATGCTGCCCATTTGTACGGCTGCCATTAAAGGAGATTCCAGGGGCCACAGAAAATGGCTTTGGAGCAGATGTAACCTCAGGACCTCAGGCTGCCCACTCTTGGAGCCAAAGGGAATCAAGTCAAATCCCAGAATTCATACTGTGCTTGAGATTACCCCAAGCGGTTGCACAGCATCCCCCCAAGCGGTTTTCTGGCATCCCCCAAATCAGCTGGAGTTTCAAGGTTGAGAATTTCCATCTCCGTTCTTGGAGATGTGGAAGGTTTTTCTTTTAACATCATCATGGGGAAAAAAATAACAAGCCTGAAGTTGCATTCTTGGCAATTTAAAGATAAGTAGAGAACCTAGTTTGCAAATTTTGCTCCCAATGGGAAAGGGTCCTGTTTCTCTTGAACTAGAATTTATGGTCTAATTAAATTGTGCAGCAGGAGGAAGTATGGTACTTGGTTAGCATGAGTTTGTTACAAGTAAGCCACTCTATGCAACTGCGTAAGGAAAAATAGGGTATGGCAGACTCTTCCTGTGTTGTCAGATTGGCTTGAGCCTCCGCTGTGGGAATTTTGCTCTCCAGCTTGGAGAAAGCTGACAGTAAAACCAGTGGGTCTTCCGAGATAAAAGCACGAATAATTTGGAAGCTCCTAAAATTTGCCATTAGTTTAGGGCAGAAACAAATGGGTGCAGGTGGATACCTTATCCCCACACGGGGCTTGCGTTCAGGTTGAAGGTCAAATTCGGAATGTGTCCCCTTTTCCACGGTGAACAAAATACAGTGTGGTGATGAACGTGGTTCTAGTTTTCCACAAGCCAAGCCTGAGGTCAGAACTTCCACTCAGCAAGTTGGTCCTGCACTTAATAGTCACTTGGCCTAAGCACAAATGGCCAGCTATCAGGTTGGGCTCTATGTCTTGACCTGAGTGTTTGCAGTTTAAAACAGGCTCAGAGTAAGTGAGAAGGAAACAGACTCCGTTTCATCAACTCTCAGGCTACCTCTTCAACCAACTCTATTCTCTGCCAAGGGACTTTCTCACAAACCAAATTGCTGTTGTTCGGGGCAGGTAAAGTGAACTCCCAACACCCAACACCATTTCTGAATTTTGAGGGAGTGTCCAGTCTTGTCAAATTTAGGACCTGTGGACTCCCAGAATTCCCCAGCCAGCCATGCTGGCTGGAGAATTCTGGAAATTGAAGTCCACAAATCTTAAAAGTTGCCAAAGTTGGACACCCCTGGTCCTAAAAAAAAAAAAAAGGGAGGATGCATTGGTGTGTCTGTGTTTGTGTTGAATTAAGATCTTTTCTACCCTATTCTAGCTTTCTAGTTGCAGGATTCTGTTTTCTTTTTTTAAAAAGAACTTTGGGGGAAAGATGACCAACTATCTTATCTGCTCCTTTTCATTCCTCTGCCAGTTTCCGTTGCCATCCTTGCTGCATGAACTTGGCTAAGCAGAAATGGGTTTTGAGTTGGGTTTGGTTCTAGCAATACTTGATTTTGGAATTGAGGAGGAAAGGAGCTTCTCTTCCTCTCTATAACTTAAACTATGCAGGAGAGGCAGCTCAACCTACAAACAGGGATGGTCTTTATCCGTGTTCCTTTCTCCCTTGCAGGGATATTATAAATAGATTTTTGCGCTTTCAAATGGCTTTAATTGGACGATCCGTATGTTTCCTTTGAATGTAGCTTTTTGTCCAACCATTAAACATTTTTGTTGGTGTGTGGAGTCTCTATTTCCCTTTTTAAAACTGTTGATATTATTATTCCTACGGAAAGCACAATGTTTCTGATCCTTTGCCCCTTTGTGGGTGACCTAATGTAATTTATTATCTTTGTTTCTGATTTTAAAATACAAACACTAAGCTTTAAGATTCTAGCCCCCTTGGGGGGGAAGATACGCTGTAAAAGAAAGATAAAATAAATAATATCAAATCAAAGAGCGATGAAAATGTTTTTTTTCCTTTCTCAGTCTCATCTGTTTTATAATTATAATAATTATTCCAGGAATAGTGAGCTAGCAGAAGCTTCTTTCCAGATAGGTGACATCCAAGGAGGAATTGCTTTCCCAGCCAAAGGGTTTTAAGCTGGCCACTTTATGTAATCATCATTAATGAGAACCTTCATTGGTTGTTAAAGCCCAATGAGCAGCATACACTTTTTTTGGGGGGGGGGTTTCTGATCAATTAGCAACCTTGCAATTTGCATCACTCCGGAGATTGATGACCAAATTAAATCAGAATGAGAAAATTAAACATTTTCAATAATTAAAATGAGCTATGAACAAAGAGTAGAACACAGAACATAGAATAGCAGAGTTGGAAGGGACCTTGGAGGTCATCTAGTCCAATTCCCTACACAAGCAGGAGAGCCAACTCGGCACAGCCAACTTACCGCAGGATGAGAGTTACACCAATATTGAAGAAATGGTGGAATAGAATCATTAAAGAAAGGATGCCAAAGGAGAGACAAAATGAAATGTGAATGATAAAAATTAAAATAATTAGAATAAAATAATGTTTTAATTATTTTAAATAGGTGGAATTGTTGAATTGTCCTGCAATGAGTTTTGGATGTGTTGATCGTGGCAAGATGGCCATGGTGAGTGGTCCCATTCCACTCCATATGACTGTCTGAACTGAAATCTGGTCTGGTTGATGGATTATGTGCTATCAGTTCAGAATTTCTCTAGCACAGTTTCAGTTCAGTTTTCTCTAGGACAGTGTTTCTCAACCTTGACCATTTTAAGGCATGTGGACTTCAACTCCCAGAATTCCACAGCCAGCAATGCTGGCTGTGGAATTCTGGGAGTTGAAGTCCACATGCCTTAAAATGGTCAAGGTTGAGAAACACTGCTCTAGGACAATCTGTCCCTAACCTGGCCCTTCACGTCTTCCAACACTACCTCCAACACCATTAAAACCGAGTCCCTCCATTTTGCATCTGGTTGTCCCCTTTTTTTCCTTTATAAGCATCAGAGCCATCTTCAGAGAGCTGGATCTGACATGTCTTTAATAATAATAAATCAGTATTGACAAAATTATCAGGCAGTTGCTAAAGGCAGCTTTCCTGGAAGCAGCTTGCATCCTGCAACAAAATATCTAACAATATTTGCATATCCCAGGTACTTGAGAAGAATTTAATAGGTGGGCAAAAATGCCACCTAATAATTTAAAAATTCAGCTAAACATCTGGCTGACTGTGTGACGAATCGTCATCATCATATTTTTCTGCTTGAAAACAATCCAACAGAATACCATAGTCAAAGTGGAGAAACTAAGGAGAGACACCACTCCACCAACAGAACAAGCTACTATATATAAACAGGCAGCAAACTCCATCCTCACTAGCACTGATGACGTTACTTAGTTGGGTAATGAACCTTCGGCAAGCCAACCACCAAGCTCAACGAGCATCAAGGACTCCACAGAATGGCTATCGCCCAGAGATAAAATGCTTCCTTTGCATGTGGAAGATCTGAAGGAGCTTTCAGGTTTTCCAAGTAAAACGGATGCAACAGTTCAAGGGAAGTTCAAGCACCAGAGTTAATAGCATGCTGGGGCAATTAACTGAGGAAGGATTTCATCCTGCTTGCCAATCTTCCGCTAAAAAATACAAATATTTTCAGAACGGAATAAAAAAATAACAAGAGTTGGAAGGAACTGTGGAGGCCTTCCTATACTATTCTGAAAAAATGGCTTTCCCAGTCTTTTCTTTAAAAAAAACCTCCAGCGATGGAGCGCCCACAGCTTCTGAAGGCAAGCCACTGGTTAATTGTTCTCACTATTAGGAAATATCATTGTGACTGAATCAGTTCAACGCAGTGGCAAACTGAGAAAGGATCCTTGGGGTAGCACATATGAGGCTCTGGGGAGCCAAGCGGGCGCCCAATTTTGCATCTGTAGATCTGGGAGAGAGCTACTTCTGTTGGTTCTCCTGTTTTGATTTTTTTTTTTTTCTGGCTTGTATTCTCTGGGGATGAAAACAAAAGTGTCCTTGCAAACCATTTATATAATAGTCTATCTCGTTTCCTGGAGCAGACCCCCCCTCCTCCCCCCCCCAAAGTCCTCAGCCGCCCCGCCACGCGGACAATGGGGGGGTCGCGGCCCCTTTAAATCGCAGCCCCCTCCGCTCCCCCCCTTCTCCGTCTTGTTTATAATGCGGTGCCACCGAACTTGAGTCCCGTCCTCCCGCGGCGCCGGCCACGCCCCCGTCCTCTCCCATTGGCTGAGCGGCGGCGGGCGGGCTCCGGCATTGGCCCGGACGCCGCAGGCAGGTTCGACGGCGCTCGCAGGGCAGTCAGCTGACCTTGCCTGGACCGTCCACTCCCCCTCGGAGCTGATCCGGCTGTGCCGCCGCCGCCGCCGCCGTCGCGGTTCCGCTGCCTGTGCTGCCTGCGCTGCCTCCGGCGATGGCGGGCGAGGGCGGCTGCTTGGCGCTCCTCTGCGGCTGGGCTGCAGCGGCCGCCGTCCTGTGGCCCGCCGGGGCCGCGCTGCGAGACGGGGCGTCGTCCGGCGCGGGAGATCCGGAGGGCGGGGGGCCGGCGGCGGGGGTGCCCTGCCCGCCGTGCCCCCAGGTCCTGGGCTTCCGCCTGGAGGACGGCGCCGCGGCCTCGGGGGGCCTGGTGCGCGCCCTGCCGGGAGCCACCTTCCGCCTGCGCCTCTACGGCACCGGCCTGCACAACCGCAGCTGGCCCTGGGCGGCCTTCGTGCCGGAGGAGGCGCCGTGCGGGGGCCCCCCGGGGGACCCCCAAGGCACGCCCGCGCCCGCCGGGGCCCCGCAGGTGCTGGCCCTCCACCTGCTGCCGGCCGGCGAGCACGCCGCCCTGGTGACGGTCAGGGTGGCCCCCGGGGGCCCCCGCGGGCGGTACCGCCTCTGCAGCCCGGCGGGGCCAGGGCGCCAGTGGGCCCCCGCCGCCCCCGGAGATGCTATCCTGGTGACGGAGGACGAAGGCGGGGGTGGCCGGGCGGCGGCCGAGGCGTGGCCCCCGCCCTTGGCCCCCTGGCTGCTGGGCACCCTGGTGGCCCTGCTCCTGACCCTGCTGGCCCTGCTGCGCACCTTGCAGCTCAGCACCTTGTGGCTGGACCCGGCCGAGCTGTACGTGCTGCGGGACTGTGGCTCCGAGGCCGAGCGGGGGGCCTCCAAGGCGCTGGAGCCCGTGCGGCATCGGGGGACCTTTGTCCTGTGTTCTCTGCTGCTCTTGAGCGCCTTGGCCCATGCCGCCCTAGCCGTGCTCTTCTACCGGGCCGTGGGGGCGCTGGCCCCTGCCATCCTCGGCGTGGCCGCCTTGTCCTTCCTGCTGGCCGAGGTGCTGCCCTTTGCCGTCAGCTCCCGCTGGGGGCTCTCGCTGGCCCCGCGTGTGCTGTGGCTGACCCAGTTCTTCATGCTGCTGACCTTCCCCATCTCGCTGCCGCTCAGTCGGGTGCTGGAGCTGGCCTTGCGGCACGACAGCAGCACGTCGCTCTTGCGGGAGAAGATCCTGGACATGGTCCGCAACAGTGACCCCTACAACGAGTTTGTGCGGGAGGAGTTCAGCAAGGGGGCCCTGCGGAACAAGACGGTGGAGGACATGCTGACCCCGCTGGATGAGTGTTTCATGTTGAACGCCAACGCGGTGCTGGACTTCAACAACATGTCCATGATCATGCAGAGCGGCTACACCCGCATCCCGGTGTATGAGGAGGAGCGCACCAACTTGGTGGACATGCTTTATGTCAAGGACTTGGCCTTGGTGGACCCTGATGACTGCACCCCTCTAAGCACTATCATCAAGTTTTACAATCACCCGCTTCACTTTGTCTTCAATGACACCAAACTGGATGCTGTGTTGGAGGAGTTCAAGAGAGGTAAATATGTATCTTTATATTTTCACAACAGGTACTGGGTACATAGTAGATTGCCTATCCAGTTTTCATAAAAAAAAAAAAAAATAAACATTGGGACTGATAGCGACCTGAATTCTCAGGAGCATCTGGCTATATAATACACAGTTGGTTTTCAAACTATTCTGAAAGTTTCTTTGGAAGCTTTATTGAAAGGGTTGTCCAGCAAGGATTGTCCAACAAGATGATCAGGGGTGGTGAACAAACAGCATGGAAGATAGCTTTCATAAATCTTTTGCTTATTTCCATGATCTTTTCCTCTGCTCACAGAATGTTGGAACCTCTGCCCTTTAGGAATCCTTTCAGTAAGATCCAGTGACACCCTGCAGAATCTGTTCACGCCTGCATTTGTGGCATACATGTTTATTCCATCTTTCTCATAAATCAGAATTGCACGCGTGATATTTTCTTTGCCCAGCCAATCATTTTGTTCTCAGAACAGTTCTGTAAGGTTATGTTCATGTCTGACCCAGAGCTACCCAATGAACTTCAGTACCAAGTGGGGATCTGAACTGACATCTCTCTGGTCCCAGTTCAGCACTAGCTGCTCATATTTTCTGTTTTGAGCACATTCTTTGAATGCTTTTTAATAGCACTCTGTGATTGCATTGTTGAAAACAAGGAGTTGAGGCAACTTTTTCATGAAAGTTATCATTGCCTTTTCTTCCTCTAAAAAAAGTAGTTTGATTTCCTAAAACAAACCAAAACTGCACAAAAGATTATCTGAGATACTGGATTCTCTAGAATAGGGGTCCTCAGCCTTGGCAGCTTTAAGACTTGTGGACTTCAGCTTCTAGAATTCCTCAGCCAGCTTTGCCAAGGTTGAGGACCCCTGCTCTAAAACTCTTCCTTAGAGTGTTAATGGCGAAGAAGCCAGAAATGCTGGTCTAATTTTGAAATTGTTTTCCTTTTTCCCTGTCCCCCAGTGTTTATAGCATCCTGTCTCATGAAATAAGACTTTTATCCTTTGTAAAGTGGTCCAGGAATGGTATTATCTGGGGTGTTTTGAAGTTAGGAAGTTCGCAAGATGTATAGCAATTTATTTTATTTAAAGGGATTTAGCAGTACATTTAATGAATCCGTTTTGTATCACTTTTAAAAATATTTTCAAAGTTGTCTTGTATGGCATTCTTGCTATGGACACCTAAGAGAATGAGCATAAAGTAGGATAAAACCATTTTAATGATTCAATGCATCTTTAGACTTAGGTGCAATTGTTATCAGTCAGTCAAATTTGAGAAGACAATCGGATGAGAATGCATAGTAGGAAGTGTATGAATAAATAATTTCATGTACTTAAAGCCAGCTTCTAATGGGAGTACATTCTGGTCTTGGTGCTTTAATGATTTATCAGTTGTTACAAGAGCGGAGTAAAATGATAAATTTTATTGGGCCATCTAATTATCTGTGAACGTTGCTGACTGTTGAACTCTCTAACCTCTCTCTGTGCTCTTGAACTATGCAAACCTTCAGCAGAAATGCATCGTAAAAAGGCCCACAGGGTCTAGCAGCGTGCCATACAGTTCAAACTATTAAGCCAGTTTTCCCTCCAGATTGGACTTCAGCTCTCATAATCCTCAGATGTCACAGTTAAGGAGAACATCCTGAAGGACACCAGGATGGGAGATTGCTCCATATTTTGTTCCTCAATAGGAACAATTTTCTACATAAGTTAGCACGTGTGATCTTTCAAGACGGAAAAAGTGTATTGTTTTATATACATATCCCTTTATATTATGGACACTTGTATCTTCCTGAGATATACCGGTATGTATAAATGTGATCACTGTCTGTGACCTTATTTGTCTGCTGCTTCTGCATGTGAAGAAACGGTGCTTGGTGGCTTAAACTGATCCTGTGGGCATAAAATACGAGTTGGGGGCAAAGAAAAAAAGTCCCATCTATAAAAACAGCTTTTTCAACCACAAGGACTGTTTATGAATAAATCTCAGTCTGGCTTGGGACAGGGTGAGTTAAGTCCTGCAAAAAATAAACACTACTGGACTGGCACAGTTCTGCAGGCTGGGACTCATTGGATAGAATATTTTTTCTATATCTATCATAATTGTTTGCGCATAGAAAATGATGGTTCAGTCAATCAAAATAGATCTGCAAGGGATCTTGGAGGTCTTCTAGTCCAGTCCCCTGCTCAAGCAGGAGACCATATACCATTTCAGACAAGTGGCTGTCCAGACTCTTCTTAAAAGCCTCCAGTGATGGAGTGCCCACAACTTCTGGTGGCAAGCTGTTCCACTGGTTAATTGTCCTCACTGTTAGGAAGTTTCTCCTCAATTCGAGATTGCTTCTCCTCTTGATTAGTTTTTTTTCTGTGCCGTTGTAACTTCAAACGGTCACTGAATGAATGGCTATAAGTTGAGGACTGCCTGTATGAGTAATTTTCAGATCCATCTTCGTGGTTATGTTATGCAATCTAACATCCATTCAAAATTGTTTGAGTTCTCAGTGACTAAGTGATATTACCTGTATACAAGAGTACATTTGTGTTCATGTTCAAAGCCAACACTCCTCCTCATACACCACAAACATTCCATGTATAAAACAACCAAGGGAATATCACACAACTTTGTCATACTCCTTTAGTGTTGAATTACCAGGCATTCTATTTATTCTTATACATACTTCACTTCCATCATATATTGCTCTTATCCCATGTAATAATGAATTTTAAGTTCTTTTTTTTTTTTAACAATGCTTTAATCCTGGGGTCCCCAAACCCCAGGCGGTGGCCCACTATTGGGGCATGAGCTGTTCGGAACCGGGCTGCGAAAACAGTGGGAGCAGGTGTGCACATCCCCACTTCTGCGAGCAACAGGCGAGTGTGTGCACGTAAGCTCCATTTGTCAGGCAGCAGGCGTGCGTGCCTGTCACTTGTGCAAATGGAGCTATGCACACGCTTGCTGGCTGCTTGCGCAAAATCACCCACTCCCCAGCCAGTCCCCAAAGCCAGAAAGATTGGGGTTGTTGTTGTTAGTTGCGAAGTCGTATCCGACCCATCACAACCCCATGGACAATGTTCCTCCAGGCCTTCCTGTCCTCTACCATCTTCTGGAGTCCATTGAAGCTCACGCCTACTGCTTCAGTGACTCCATCCAGCCACCTCCTTCTCTGTCATCCCCTTCTTCTCTTGCCCTCCATCTTTCCCAGCATTAGGCCCTTCTCCAACGAGCCCTTCCTTCTCATTAGGTGGCCGAAGTACTTGAGTTTCAACTTCAGGATCTGGCCTTCTAAAGAGCAGTCAGGGTTGATCTCCTCTAGGACTGACCAATTTGAACGCCTTGCAGTCCAAGGGACTCGCAGGAGTCTTCTCCAGCACCAGAGTTCAAAGGCCTCCATTCTTTGGCGCTCAGCCTTTCTTATGGTCCAACTTTCGCAGCCATACATTGCAACTGGGAAAACCATGGCCTTGACCATACGTACTTTAAAGGCTGGGGAACTTTGCTTTAATCCCTTTTTCAAGGTGGAGCGCGGCCACTGAATGGAGCTGAGCATTTACTGCCCTTCCTGAAACCTGTGTGGAGTTTGTAGCAGATATTTTTTTTCTTTGCGCCTTGGTAGAGAAACATCTACCGCTGCCTAGGATTTGAACTCTCAACCTACCGAGTGGAGGCAAGCATCTTCACCTCTAGCCTACTCTCTTTTGAATTCTTCTTCAACGTTCTGTAAATCAAGGCTGCCTACTTTATCATATGCTTTCTCTAAACTAGCAGACGTGATAAGATTTTCTTTCATACTTGCCTACATTTCTCAGTGAGCTGCTAAAAAGTAAACATCTGGTCTGCCCTTCGCCTGCCAGCCTAAAAGCTTGCTCCTTGTTACATCTCACAGCTCTTTCATCTGGAATTCCACAGAGTATCCTTTCACGCACATTTAACAAACAAGTCCTCTGCTGTGTTTATATCCACTCTTGCTACTGTTTCCCTTTATACACAAGGAAAGCAACAACATTCTTCCCGCAGAGGTGCAGTCTTCACACCCTTTTTAAACAGATTGAAAAGCCATTCTAGGAAGAAATCACTTCTGTATTTTAATATTTCACCAATCGCATTGTCTGCGCCTGCAGATGTAACCCGTTTTTTTATTTCCACACTGCTCTGCATTTTCCATCTCTTTTCCTCTTACATGTCCCTCGCTCTTTTTGAATGCATTCTTTTTCCCTTCGATATGCATTATTCGGTACAGGTAGTCCTCAACTTCACCACCACAAATGAGCCCAAAGTTTGTGTCACTAAGTGAGACATCTTTTAAGCGAGTTTTGCCCCATTTTTACAACCTTCCTTGCTACAGGGTTAAGTGAAAATGACCGCCAATTGTTTCAGTTAGTAACACGGTTCTTAAATGAACCTGGTGATCACATGATCCCGGGAGACTGCAACTGTCGTAAGTATGAGTCAGTTGCCAGGCGTTTCAATTTTGATCACGTGACCTGGAGATGCTGACAGTTATAAGTGTAAAAAATGATCCTAAGTCACTTTTTTCAGAGCCGTTGCAACTTCGAACGGTCACTAAACGAACTCTTTTAAGTCAAGGACTACCTGTATTGTTCTGTGGTGTTAATTTTTTGCAGCAATCATCTACCCCTTTTTCACACGCATAGCCTCCTTTCCTTCATCACTCAATAATAATAATAATAATAATAATAATAATAATAAAGTTGGAAGGGACCTTGGAGGTCATCAAGTCCAACCCCCTGCTCAGGCAGGTAACCCTATACCATTTCGGACAAATGGCTGTCCAGTCTCTTCTTAAAAACTTCCAGCGTTGGAGCATTCACCGCTTCTGGAGGCAGATTGTTCCACTGGTTAATTGTTCTAATTGTCAGGAAGTTTCTCCTTAGTTCCAGGTTGCTTCTCTCCTGGATGAGTTTCCATCCGTTGCTTCTTGTCCTGCCTTCAGGCGCTTTGGAAAATAGCTTGATTCCCTCTTCTTTGTGGCAGCCCCTGAGA